TTACAAATCTGGCTAGACCAGAGGATGTACACTGGTACAGATAGGAACTGGAAACACAGGAATCCAGGACAGATGAACCCCTCAGGACCAGTGCTGAGAGTGGCAATACCAGGAGGGTGGAGGGAAGGTGGGGTATAAAGGGGGAACCGATTACAAGGATCTACATATACCCCCCTCCCTGAGGGATGGACAACAGAAAAGTGGGTGAAGGGAGACATTGGGCAGTATGAGACATGACAAAATAATAATAATTTATAAATTATCACGGGGTCATGAGGGAGGGGTGTTGGGGAGGGAAGGGGGAAAATGAGGAGCTGATACCGAGGACTCAAGTAGAAAGCAAATGTTTTGAGGATGGCAAAAAATGTACAAATGTGCTTGACACAATGGATGGATGGATGGATTGTGATAAGAGTTGTACGAGCCCCCAATAAAATTATTTTTTTAAAAAGAATGTCCCTATCACCACTCTTATTCTATAGTGTGCTGCAAGTCTTAACCAGAAGCATTAGACCAAAAAAAAAAAAAATCAACAGAAGACACTGGGCAAAGTAAAAGAAGTCACTATTTGCAGACAATATGATTTTATATGCAGAAAACTCCCCAAAGACATGACAAAAAGATGGTCAGGGACAACTGAAAATTTTAGCAACATGGTAGGAAACAAGATTAACAAAAGTCAGCAAAACTCAATTGGATTCCTGCATACTAACATAGAGTTCTGAAAGAAAATGACATAACATATAATAAAATTTTATATATGTGTATGTATATATACATGTGTATATATATATGAATAAACCCAAGAAATAAAAGACCTGTATAAAGCAAACTACAGAACACTATTACAAGAAGCCAAAAGAGACCTACATAAATGGAAGGACATCCCATGTTCATGGATAGGAGGCAATTCAAGCTACAGACAGCTGATCTTCAACAAAGGGGCAGGGGCATTAAATGGGAGACAGGCTCTTCTACAAGTGGTGCTGACAAAACTGGATCTCTATCTGCAGAAGAATGAAACAGTACTCTGGCCTCACTGCACATGCAAAACCGAACTCAAGATAGATCAAAAGCCTAAATGTAAACCTCAGAGCTATAAAGATCATCAATGAGAAAATGGGAACAAACTTAAGAGCCTTTCACACATCATTCTAATTTAGCTGACATAAGTTTGGAAAAGCTAAGCAGACATATTCGGTGTATGTATATATGTACATATTTTCATATCTGTCTCCTCAGTGTTCTTATATTTATTCCATTTTGATCTTGTAAAAACATCCTTAAAAGTCATCAAATGCATCGTAAATACTTCTACACCTGTCTCTTCATCTATCATTTCATACTGTTTGCATCGCATTGTGTATTAACCATCTATGCGATTGGCCATTACCAGATGTAAGGGGGGAGATCTTGAATTAAGTTATACTCTATGTATCACAGTTACCCCTTACATGACTTTTCATCATTATTTGCACCTTCATACATCTTGTAGTTCTCTAGGACATCCACTTCAGCTTCTAGGGCTGCACATGTGTACATCTTCTGGATGGGACTGCCCGTGATCCATGACCTTAGCGTCAGGCATAAACGGTGCAGCACCTGAGGTGGGTTCTGATTTGGTCTTTGTTCAGAGTAGAGTTCTGTTGGCACAGGCCCTGAATGTGAGGGGGTCCTCAGGAGCCATTCTGAGATTGTGGAAAATATTACAGACAGTGGGTCACAGGGGCTCCTCATTCCATGTCAGGACTGAGAGAGAATGTATTTTCCAATGGGTATGTATAATGGGGCTTACAGATCTGTCATAAGCCATGCATGTCATACAGCTAACATATTACATAGTTAATAGGTAATATCATAAGCTGCTAACCTAATAAAAAAGCAGTGAGATGAGTCAGCATCTTGACCTAGTGCTACTTGACCTCAAACCCCTCTAACCCCTCCCCAGGAGGCTGCTACATTCATGGAGGGTTGGCTGTAGAACCTGATTGCTTTGATCTACAGATAACCTCTAGGCATTGTGAAGTAGTGGACAGAGAAATGACTCATCTTATATGGTAGCTCCTTTATGACAGTTCCTTTGAGGGGGGTTATTGGAGGGGCCGTGTTCAGTCATGAGGATGTAGATTAAGATTTCTTTATATCTCATAACCGTGAGTCTTCCCCCACCAGAGTCTGCTTTCCAGACCCGTAATTAGGAGCATGGATGATTTGGCTGCCTGACATTCTCATCCAGTCCCTCAGTTTACCACAAGACTTGTCTTTGTAGGTATTTCTATTTCAGCAGAACTTCCTTAGTTTTTGCTTTAGGTTCAGGAACGGATTAATTTTTGTTGCTCTTTGCCCAGTGACTTAACTGCTACATAAATTGCTGGCTTGCAGAATATGCCTTCTTCCCAGTCACCTTTGCAATTATTTCTGGTTGAACTGGGTAGCAAATCATTGCTCCTAAAGTTGCTAGTCCCAATGGATATGTACTTTTCTTGAAACCAAGCCTGCCAATCCTGAAAATGTAATCACTCCAACTTTGGGAAGAAAATCTCTCCGTGGACTCCTCAGATAAATACATGTATCTTTTCCAAATTGTCCCGAATTCATTATCCCATTTTCCACAAAGACATAAACACCCATTCATCAGCCAATCTAATGACCAGTTGTGGTGCGGATGAAAGCAAAGCCCAGTTCTAAATGTTCCTCAACATATTTAGACTGCAGAGGTAGAACAGTATATACCGGGAGATGGTCTGGTTTCCACTAGCTGCTTTTTAGGTCCCTCTCCTTTGGCCGCAGGTACACTTGCAGATGCCAGGATCAAAGCTGTAAGCACGGTTATCAGCTTTCTCTTCCACACAACCCATACTAGCATTCCATCCATTAGCTTCCTTTCATCCAGCCTTAAAGAGCCCTGGATACCCTAGTGGGCCAGCTCATTCCATTAGCGGTCTGTCGAGGGCAGGGGTCCTACAGGCCTAGGTTTTCGCTAAATAACCCAACCAAAAAGGATGTTCCGTCCCCAGACGGCACCCCATTCAAAGGATAGAGTGAGCACCTACGTGGCGGGCCGACCTTGGGAACCCAAAAGCACACGCGACAGACGACGCTCTGCCCCACACTGCTTCGTCTGGCAAGCCAACAGACAAATTCCAGTAGCGGAAACCACTTGGAACCTCCTCTTGCTAGCGGGAGGGCTGCGCGCGCAGATGGCACCTAGCCCGCGCGCAAGGCTCTCCCGACCAGTTTCTCCAGGAGCAACAATGCCCCTCCCCGAGTTCTCTCGCGTCGCTTGGCCTCCTGGGTACAATCTTCCCGACAGGCCCCGCGGACCCCGATGCATGCTGGGAGTTGTAGTCTCCTGGAGGCAGCGTGGCGCCGCTGCCTGCCGGAGCGCGTGGCAGGAAGCGGAAACGGCCTCTGTCCTGCCCCAGCCCCAGCCGGGCCTCGGTTCAGGCCTGGCCCCGCCCCGCGCGGTGCCGCCCGCTGCGGCGCTACACTGACGTGTCTCTCGGCCCAAGGGCTGCGCTCCACAGGGGCTGAACCGCCGGCCGCGGCGTCTCTCTCGGAGCGGATCGGAGCTGAAGCGGGATCCGGAGCCTGAACAGCCGACGCCATGGCGAGTGAGTCCCTCGAGGGCAGATCCGAGCCTCTTGCCTCACCCGTCCGCCTCGGCGTTCCCCGGTCCAGCCCGCCCGGTTCGCAGCCGACCCGGGCTGGCGGGTGCCGGCCCTCCTCGAGGGTCCCCGAGCGCCCACAGGCCCTCGTACCCTGTCTCTCCCTCGACTCATCACGGGCCAGAGGGTTCGCGCGTCGCCGGAAGGTTTGCCCCTGGCCTAACTCTCCTTTTTCTCTCCTCCCCAAGTCAAATTTCTGGAAGTCATCAAACCCTTCTGTGTCATCCTGCCGGAAATTCAGAAGCCAGAGAGGAAGGTGAGTTCCCCAAACCACTCTCCAAGAAAGCATCGTGGAAGTGTCCAGGTGCTGGAAGTTCACTTCCAGCCCAATTAAAAATGGCTTCGGCACGCCTGGTGGCATTCTCTGTGCCCTCGCTTCCCCGGAGTACGGTCGTGTAGAAAGGTTCCCTGGCCGTGCGGGGCTTTCCACTGAAATCGTCGGGCACCCCTGCACGATCTTTCCTGGGTGCTGTACCCTGCCCCCAGATGGCTCCTGGCCTCAATCAGGGGACGCGGATTTAAGTTAACCAGGGGCAGACTCAGGGTTGAGTTTTCCTGGGATTTGCCTTTCGTTTCCAGCTGCTTAAAAGGAGGTCAGGGTAGCCGCTTTATTCTGTAGAAAAGAGCGTGTACTTGCTATCTAGACTCAAGCTGCTGAAATAAATCTGTGCTTCACAGCAGCCAGTCAAAAACAGTGAAAAATAGATATGTATTCATTGTTACAGAATTCCTGTTGCAAAAGCTAAGATTTGAGATATTATTGGCAATATGAATAAGGTTATTAAACAATGGAATGAGAGTTTATTAGATTCGTAAAGGGAATAGTAAAATCTTTCTGGTTTCATATTTTTTCCCAGACTGTTAATGCAATCACATGTGTTTAGGTAGAATTGATCATCAGTGTGGACGTTTGGATCCATGAAGACTACTCTTTTCCCAAAACTTGGAATTGTTTTATATAAAATGCCCCACATATGTACTGCCTTTAATGAACCAATTTCTTAGTGAATTTCAGAGCTCCCTGCTCCCCTTCCAAGCTTAGAGGATAAGTTTCACTCCCTAGGTGGCTGTGTGACCTTGGTCTTGTAACTCAGGGGGGTAGAAGTAGGAATAGGTACAAGATAGAGCAGTAACTCAGGAAAGAGAATGTCTGATTTTGAAGGAGGATATTTTCTTGAAGAAACGGGGAGGGAGAAAAAGATATGGGTAGAAATTCCAGACAAAAGGAATATATAATATGCCAAGGCAAAACAAGACTGTGGTGTGTTGGTTGCCCGCGTTTGAGAATTGCCAAAATATAAAAGGTAGATGGAGAACAACAGACAAGGGGAAAGGACCAGACAAGTTAGAAAATTGCTGCCCAAGATTATGACTGTCAAAGCTGTTGCAATAAAGGGAGAAACTAAACAAAACAAAGGGAGAAACTGGCAGAGAGGTAGAAATCAAGGATGGCTTTGGGCAATTGGATAAAGATGTTTCACTTTTCATTGTTGACTTTGGTTGAATACAGCAGAGGACACTTGGCTATTAAAACATGAGGAATCTTGTAAACGATGTCTACTCCTGGTTCCTATAAAGTCATTTCAGTAACATTACTAATTAGTCCCAAATGATGTTACCTTCCCTTGACCTACTTCTTAGTTTCTTGTGTGGAGACAGATGGAAGGGGAGCAGTCATCTCAGGAAGAAAAGCTCTGTGACTTCACACCACGTTTGGCACACTGGCAGCATCTGCCACACAGGGTCGCCCCGCAGTCAGAATCGACAACTACCAGCAGCAACCACACTCAGCCTCTCTAAAATACTGTTTGTACATTTCTAGAGTAGATGACAGTGGTGCATGGTGTGAGGTGATGTGTGTGAAGACCTCAGACACAGAAAACTTGCTGTACACAGTGCTCACAATTCGTTCCTGTTGTTCAAGGCTTCTCGGTGAACAGGGAGGGGTCTAATTTGAGTCTGCTTTTCTTAATTTGCTTATGAAACTAACTTGTTGAACTTCATTCTCTTCTGTAGATTCAGTTTAAGGAGAAAGTGCTATGGACCGCTATCACTCTGTTTATCTTCTTAGTGTGCTGCCAGGTAAACACAGGTTTCATACTCTCCCCTGTTGGGCTGGGCCGGAGGAAGATGAGGCTGTGTGCTAAAGCAGTGGTTCTCAACCTTCCTAATGCCATGACCCTTTCATACAGGTCCTCAGATGGTGGTGACCCCCCCAACCAGAACATTATTTTCATTGCTACTTCATCACTGTCATTTTGCTACTGTTATGAATCGGGCGACCCCTGTGAAAGGGTCGTTCAACCCCCAAAGGGATCGAGACCAGAGTTTCAGAAACCCTATGGAGCGGTTCTGCTCTGTGCTCCAGGGCCTCTGAAGCCGAGTCCCTTGGGACTTTGGTTTGGGCAGGGCACGAGGATGGATGGCAGCAAGTATGTGGACTTCTTTTCTCTTTGTTGTTGATTTCCAGATCCCCCTGTTTGGTATCATGTCTTCAGATTCAGCTGATCCTTTTTATTGGATGAGAGTGATCCTGGCCTCTAACAGAGGTAGGTCCCTGGCTCTCTGTGCCTTTTCTCTGCACAAAGTGGGCGTGCCTGGCTGAATTTAGTTCTGTTATAAGCTTTGGCTCTATGTTGAGTTCAGAGTGAAGAACGTGGTCTGGAAAATAGAATGAAAAATATTGATGTGCTGTACTGAATAGACATTGTAAACACTAGATTCTAGATCGAGGCATGCTGTCATACTTGGAATTGTGTTTTGAATGTAAAATAACGTCTAATACCAAGATAAGTACATGTTGTAGAGACTGGGAAACGAGAATGCTTTTGAAACACATGATGATGACATTCTTACATGTCTTGTGTTTTCATCTTTAACTGTATCTTTTTGTTATTGTTCATATCATCCAGTTCCAAATCAATTGAAAGTAAGGCTCACTTTGATATAATGGAAGTAAAGACTTATTCATGGCTATAATTGTACAGACACCTATCCTAGATGCTAGAAATTTCTTGAATGTTGCCCTTTTTGTTAACTGATAAAGAGGTAATCCTTTCTTCTCCCTATAAAATCAGTCTGGTTCTGTTATGATAAATGTAAATTCAACAATCTGTTGAGACACCAGGTGACTTCCTCAGTAGAATGGGACATTGCCTGATAAGCTGAACAGGCTGAATTGAATATACATTAATTGTTGATAATTTGAGGTTATTCTCTGCTGCTGTCAAATCGGAATGCATTGAGGTACGTGTAAGGGGGCCCAAGTAAAAGACCTTGTACATTTTCTTGATGTTTGCTATTCTAAGCTAGTGTTTCTGTGCTTTGTTTCCCCTCACCTCAAGGTACATTGATGGAGCTGGGCATCTCTCCCATCGTCACCTCTGGCCTTATCATGCAGCTCTTGGCTGGGGCAAAAATAATTGAAGTTGGTGACACTCCAAAAGATCGCGCTCTCTTCAATGGAGCCCAAAAGCGTGAGTGAGCTAGCGGGACTATTGAGATGCCCCAGAGGTTGAGTGGAAGAAGTAGGGTTTGACCAGTCTAGTTTCAGTTCCCCAACTTCATAGGACCTTGAGCCAGTCTCTTTGCTTCTTGGGCCCTCAGTTTCCTTACCATCTAGGAAATAATATTTACGTCAGAGTTGTGAGGATTAAATGAAATAACATGTAAAACATCCATCTCATTGCCTGATATATAGTATTTAATCAGCAGGTTTGATTTTGATTTTTTTCCCCTTCTGAGTTTAGAAAGACTTAGGGAGAAAGGTGTTCTACCAGCTGTGTGACTTTGAGAGACTTTAGATGACAACTCAACTTTAAAAATAGGGGTTATAGAATAATGATGGCAACAAATGTACAAATGCGCTTGACACAATGGATGTATGGATTGTGATAAGAGTTGTACGAGCCCCCAATAAAATGATTTTTTTTTAAATAGGGGTTATAGTGGTGTTTATCTCATGGCAAATAGTTTTACTAGCAGCAATGACCAGTCAGCTAGATTGACTGTTGCTATTACCTTAAGTGTACAAATTAGAAAACGATATTTTACTATTTCCTATGCAGATGTATTTTCTTACTCACCAGTGTATTTTAAGTAAGCTAAATTGAATGAGCCTGGGCTGTTAAATCTGTCAGTTTTAGGCATAAATCAGGATTTTAAAGTATGTGTGCCATACATGCTTTTTTTTTACTGTGTAAAACTATTAACAAAACAAAACTACCCTGCTTTAAGAATTCATTGTTACAGAGCACTTTTTTTTTATTTTTAACATTTTATTAGGGGCTCATACAACTGTTATCCCAATCCCAGAGCACTTTTTATAAAACCAAATTGAGCTATATTTGATGAGTACTGTGGAGTAAAATTTAATTTCACATGGCAGAAAAGCTGAAATTGAAGCTAGAAACCAATACTTAGAAATCCACTTCATACCATGGAAGCAGTAAGCCTGTGGCAGTTCCATGGTTCTGACAATGATGTATACCAAGACTCAAGAGGCCCTACCAAAAGGAACGCATCTGTTCTAAGTGATCTTGGTAGCCGAGGAATGGTGACTCTTCACTATATCTGTGTTGGAATTGGTAGCGTTGTGGGGATTATCCCACTAAATAGAAATGTGAGAAGGCCTCCCTCTGTCCCAGTGTTAATAATCCGTGGTCTGTACTTGGCTGGATGGTGAGCTGCAGAGGTATACTAGTGAGCTATACTAGTGGCTGGCCTTGAGCCCGAGTGCTGGGGGCTGCATCACCAGAGTGTATGCCACTGGAGAGCTTCCCCAGTCATTTTTCTCCCCGCTTTCCTGTTAGGTCAACCTCGTGGCCACTTTGCACATCTTTCACTTCTCCTTTAATAAAGACGAGGTGAAAACCAAGGTGTACTTTAGCACTGACGAATCAAACATCATTCCCCTAGTTCCTGTATGTTTCCCCACCTCCCCCCAACTACCACCACTACCATGACTCAGTTCTAACTTACAAATCTGGCTAGACCGGAGAACACACAGTGGTACAGATAAGACCTTTCGTACATGGAATTCAGGAAAGATAAACCCCTCAGGAACAGTAGTGGGAGTAGCGATGAGGGGAGGGGCATGGTCAGGGAGGGGGAAGGATAAGAAAGGGGGAATCCATCACAAGATTGGAGATACATATATATATAGTGCCCCCCACCCTCCCCGAGGGGACAAATAACAGAAATGTGGGTGAAAGGAGACAATGGACAATGTAAGATGTGAAATAATAGCAACAATATATAATTGATCAAGGATTCACGAGGGTGGGAGAGGGGGTAAAAAGGGGAACTATACCAAGGGCTCAAGTCGAAAATGTTTTGGAAATGATGGCAACATATGTACAAATAAAGTAAAAAACAAACAAACAAAAAAAAGACAAGGGGAAATTACAAAGCAAATGCCCTGTTGTTAAAAGGCATTTGCATTATTGTGAACTTTGGGGCTGTTACTAATTAGAAGTTTCCTAGACCAAGTTCCTTGTAGGCAATGTCAGTATTTCTCATCTTTCTTGTCCTTGATGCCTGACACCTAGTCGATGCCTGCTGTTTTCTTTTGATTTCTAGTATTTGGTATGATCATCACTATTGGCCAGTCTATTGTGTATGTGATGACCGGAATGTATGGGGACCCTTCTGAAATGGGTGCTGGAATCTGCCTGTTAATCACCATCCAGGTAATTATGCTGATACCTACTCTGCTGACCAGCCCCTCATACTTACATAGCTCGTATAAGTCTGAACTACATATTTAGAGGAGAATCTTCCAGAGAGGAAGCCTTGTGCTTGCCCTTTAACCTCACAGGAGGGAGGCTATCCTCCCCACTCCCCGTGGGTGGAGGCTGAGCTCGGGCCCAGCCTTTAGGTCGACGAAGGAAGGGAAGCCCATGTCCATGGGGATCGCTAATAATGAATTGTCTATTTGGGTGCCTGTACTTCAGTCTCTTATTTTTTACAGCTCTTTGTTGCTGGACTAATTGTCCTCCTCCTGGATGAGCTCCTGCAGAAAGGGTATGGCCTGGGCTCCGGTATTTCCCTCTTCATTGCAACGAACATCTGCGAGACCATTGTGTGGAAGGCGTTCAGCCCCACCACTGTCAACACTGGCCGAGGTAAAGCTGCTGGGGCTTTGCTGGCCGCAGGTTCCAGAAAGTGTGGCCCCATCCCCCTGCCAAAACACTTCAACCTGTGGTACATCTGTAACCTGTAAAAACAGAGGCGTATGTTCATAACAACACTTACAGATTTTCCCATAAGCGTAGTCAGTGATTATTGTTGATGCTAAGACACCTAATCCGTCTTGATTCACGTAGCTTGTGTTTCCATTCAAGGACAAAGCGACACAGTACTCTGCTGGGGGCTTGGAGGCCATCTTTTCCCCCTCTCCCTTTGTATTGCTGTTACAAACGCTGGATAGTGACCATCCATGTATATTCTTTTTTTTTCTCCCCATACTTTGCAGGTCTTAAGAAGTAAATTTAGGGAAATGAGATTCCTAAAGCAAAGCCCTTTGTCACTCAAAGGGAAGCTTTGGACAAGAGGCCTGGACTTGAGGTGGGGGTTCCTGCCTTGGCTGTTCTGAGCAGTGACTACATTGGTGACATTAGCCTGTGCCTTCCTCTCCGGACCCTCGTTAACAGGATTGCATGACAGAAAGCAAAACAGTCGATGCGTACCAAATGCTAGGGTTTGCTTCGTCGCCATGCAGAGTACTGTAGAAATCTTGTTACACGGGATGTTTTCAAGAAAGGCTTCCAAGCATCCAAGGAAAGACCTAGCGGAACACTAATTAGAAAAGGGAAGGTCCGCTTCTTTCATCACTAAATATGCTACTCCCTCAGAGGAGTCCCGTGAGAAATAGCTCTTCGTGCCCATATGAACACTTTATTTGAATTAAGTGCTGGAAACAGAATTCCTTGCCTCCAGAGACCATATAATCTCATTAGTGATACTGAAAACAGAGCTCCAGACAAGCAAAGGCCTCATGTACCCAACACAACACAAAAGCAAAAAGTGTAATTTGAGGTAGGAAATGTCCCGAGAGCCTTAGAAAAGCCTGAACAAGATCAGATGTGGCTGTTTCTTGGGCACCTCCTAGGAATTTAGAAAATCTCAAGCCAATGAGAAAACTGGGAACCAAAGAAAGGCAGGAAGAAAAAGAGATCATGGTAGGTAAGGTTTATGGCAAGACCATCTCGTGGTGTGAAGGACTGTGCCAATTTATAAAATAGCGTCAGAGCAGAGGTCAAGATGGTACAGTTGGTAAATGCATTGAAGCCTGGCGGCACCCCGCAAAAGAAGCCACCATCCACCCTGAAGTGGGCAGTGAGGTGGTAGGAAGCAGCATTTGACGGGGCTGGTTTCCTGTCAGTTGGGTTAGAATAGAAAAGGATGGAGAGCAAGCGCAGCTGGCTATTGTAGGCACCGTGGGGTAAGCACGGGGCTGCTGACCATGAAGTTGGTCAGCCACTCCACAGCTTCCCTAAAGAGTTACAGCCTTAGAAACGCTGTGGTGCCGTTGTGTTGTGCCCTGTAAGGTTGCTCTGAGTCCGTGGCTGTGGGTTAATTGTGGCAATGATCAGATTTCACAGCACTGCTAGTTAGGGGATTAGCAAGGACGACAGAAATGGGACAAAGGAACTTTGAAGGGTAATGAAAAACCACAGCCGTTTTGTTTCTGGCGTTAGGTTATAAGCAGGGCTGGGAACCCGTTCTTTACACTCTGAGAGTGCTTCTCTGCCCGGATCATCTGAATCAACAATGTAACAAGGTCACTACATGCAGACAGGAGAATCACCAAGACATCTGCTTGACTGGAGAGTCTGACCAGTTTATCTGGGGTGGATAGATGAACTTGAGGAGGAAGTCGAACCAGAATCAGCTAGTTCAAAGTCCCAATTCAGAGTGTCACAAGGGGTAGTGTATGGGATCTGCTGGAGGAGGACAGGGGAAGCGTTCACAGCCCTGCCCTGGGCACCTAGTGAAGCTGGGAACTAGCACTCAGTAGCTAAGCAGTGAGGGCAAGAGAAGAGTTAAGAGAGCTGAGCCTTGGAGAAGAGCAGGAAGAGTCGTGCAGGACATAGGAAATACATTGCTAACAGACCCCTTTGGGACTGAGTGTGACCATTGCTGTTTTCCTAGGGAAGTAGAAAACCCCCAAACTGGCAATTAATGTCTGGCAGGCGTGGGGAGAAAACCTGGAGAAAGAACACATTTCCCCTAAAATAACACTAGCACTTTGTCTTGTTCCTAGAGATTCAGCAGGTAATGAATTTCAAGACATAATTATGTCAACAGGACAAGGGGGACCTAATCCCAGCACGGCTATTAACTAGCCTTTGATTCCACAGCTATTTATCAGGGACCTTTTACATACCAGGCACTGGAAATGCACAGCATTTAAAAGTATGCTTTCTGCATGTCACGTGTTACCCTAAGTGAAAATAAAGCAGAGCGAGGAGAGGGGATGTCGGGAGCGCTTGCTGCAGTTTTCGTCTGACTAGTTACGGAAGACCTCACCAGTACACAGTCCTGTAGGAGGTCAGGAGGAAAGTTCTGTTTGGGAGAGCTGCAAGTGGGTCTAAGAATCAGCACATGCTGCGGGTGCAGAACGAGCAAGGCAAGAGTAGTTGGAAGAGAGAACAGGGATGTCGGCAGACAGAGCATATAGCCAGTACACCGTGTGGCTTTGAAGAAATTCCTGCCTGACCAGGGTCAAACAGGAGGTTTGTCTTGGCCACCTCTTTTAGCATCCTTGACTTCTATACACCGAGGAAACAGGTCAGTATTGTCACGTGTGGCCAAAAGGTGGGGAGAATGAGATGAAAGACCATTACAGGGTGAACTAGGAAGCCGGCGGTGGCTAGGACACTTAGCAACCACTTCCTGGGCTTCAGGAATGGTGAGTGGAGTGAGGGTTAGCTGATCTGCCTGAAATCTCTTCTCTGCATGTCCAGGAACTGCTTCCAGGAGAAGCTGCAGAGGGTTCTGGGGCTGGCACAGATGAGAAACGAAAATGCTATTACCGCTGTACCTTGCGGCACCTTGCACTCTCCACTCCTGCCCACCAACCACGTTTCTGAAAATGTGTTACCTTTCCACCAGTAAAGCAGCAAGAGGGGTAAGGGTGGAGTTGGCAGCCTTCCGTTGTGGGTTAGTTACACTGAGCAGCAGAGGTTCCACCGCAGCGCGATACTCTGGTTTCTTAGCTGTGTCTGTGTGTCCCCGCATGCCTGCGCATGCCAATACCTTGGCAGTTTATCTAGGTCTAGTGATGTCCCGGGCACTCTAGCTCCCTTAGATTGGAAGCCTTTCTTCCTACTTCTTTCTGGAGCCTTGCCTTTTTTTTTGAACCATCTCAAAGTGGATTTGTGAAAATCCTTTATCATTTCCCACGGTGGGCCTACAAACTGCCCTCTCGCTTGTTAAAGACTTAATCTCCATTTGTATCAGGGACCTCTAACACAGAGCCCTTGACTGGGATGCTTTCCTTCCTGGGCCTCTCCAGGAAAGGGGTTTTTTCCTCTTGGGGCCCTTCTCCGATGTAGAGCCCCTTCCCTCTAGCGTTCAGCTAATCCTACCTTTCTAATTTGTAATTGGTGATCGTCATCCCTACATCTGGAGGCCATTGTGTGGGTGTGTCTGAGAAATAGGATTAATTGACTTAATTAAAAAAAAAAGCCCACTTCTCAGGTTGAAGATCTCCATGAGAGAGTAGAAGGATGAGAAAATCTGCTCCCCCCTCCCAATCCTGCTGCGTTTGAGGCGCTGGCTCAGCCAGTGTCCGTCTACTTCTTGACAGGGCTTCCTCCGTTTGTTCACTCTCCACCAAGCTAGGTTCTTCTCCGGGGTCCTCCTGTTAGCACGTCCGAAGCACCTGAGGCAAGCCACACTGTCCTCCCTTTTAAGGAGCATGCTGTCTACTTCTTCCGAGATACTTTTGTTACTCTTCTGACGCTCTGTGGTATATTCAGTACTCTTCATTAACATCATAATTCAAATGCATCATTGGTTTTTAAAGTTCATATCCCAGCTTTCATATGCATACGAGGTGATTGAAAATACCATGGTTTGGGGTCAGGCACACCCAGTTCTCAGAGTAACATCTGCGTTTAGACACTTAACGGAGATCTTTGGTGGCAGATTGGCCCATTGCAATATGTCAGATGAGTTCCATGCTGCTGCTATCATGGGCACTGATGATGGATCAAAGTCGAAGTAAATCCTTGACAACTTCATATTTTCTCCACGTACCATGATACTGCTTATTGGTCCAGTTGTGAGGATGTTGTTTTCGTTAGGTTGAGGTGTAATCTATACTAAAGGCTGTAGTCTTATCTTCATCAATAAGTGCTTCAAGTCCTCTTAGATTTTAGCAAGGAGAGTCATGTTATCTGCATGTCCCAGGTTGTTAATTGTCTTCCTCCAATCTGTCACGTTCTTCCTATGACTTCTCAGATTATTTGTTCAGCATACAGATTGAATAAGAATGGAGAAAGGATACAACCCTGTCGTACACCTTTCCTGGTTTTAAATGACTCAATGTCCCCTTGTTCTGTTTGAATGACTTCCTCTTCGTCTATGCAGTTTTCTCATGAGCACAGTGAAGTATTCTGGAATTCATGCTCTTAACAGTGCTATTCATAATTTGCTAGATTTCACAGTCAATTGTCTTTGCAGAGTCAATAAAACACAAGTAAATTGTCTTTCTAGTCATCTAGCCAAGATCCATTTGATGTTAGCTATTACTGTATATACTCGTGTTTAAGCCAAGTTTTTCAGCACATTTTTAATGCAGTTTTTGTGGTAAAATTAGGTGCCTCGGCTGATATTCTGGACAGCTTATACTTGAGTGTATGTGTTATATCCCTTGTTCCACATCTTCTGAACCTGACATGACTTTCTGGCATTTTCTATCAGTGTATTGCTGCAACTGTTTTTTAAAATACTTTGAGCAAAATTTTACTTGTGATCCAAATGATCATGTTAGATAATTTCCACATTCTGTTGGATCACCTTTCTTTGTAATGGTCATGGTTGGTCAGGTCGCAGGTAGCTGTCTACCCATGTTTTGGCATAGGTGGGTGTTTCCAATGTTGCAGTCATTTGTTGAAACATCTGAATTGGTACTCCATCAATTCCTAGATGTTTGTTATTTTTGCAAGTCCCTCCAGCGCAGCTTGGACCTAGTCCCTGTATCATTAGTTCTTCATCATATGCTACATCCTGAAATGCCGGTTCTGTTTGGTGCAGTGACAGCATCCTTTTCTGTTGATGCTTCCTGTTTCAGTATTTTGCCCAGAGACCCTTCAATATTGCAACTCGAGGCTTTCATTTTTCTTCAGTTCTTTAGGCTTGAGAAACGCAAGCATGTACTTTCCTTTTTGTTTTCAAACTCCAGGTCCATGTACATTTCATTTGTAGATTCTCAAGCTGCCCTGTAAAATCTGTTCAGCTCTTTTACGTCATCATTTCCTCTGTTCACTTTAGCTTCTCTGTTCAACAGCAAGTGTGTGTCTTCTGTCATCCACTTTGGTCTTTTCTGCCCATCATGTCTTTGTAATGACCCTTTTTGCTTTCTTTAATGTTCTTGATGCCATCATCTTTGATACCTAGGGGCATAATGGCCTATGAATTGGGCTGCTCACCCCAAGGTCAGCAGTTTGGTTCCACCAACATCAATGGGAGAAATGTGGAGCTCTCTGTTCTCGTGAAGATTTACAGCCTTGGACCCTAAAGGGGCAGTTCAGCTCTGTCCCAGAGGGTCATCAATAGAGCCAACTTAGTGGGAGTTTGGGGTTTTTTGTTGATGTCATCTTGCCTGGCTTGTGGTCGTTAGTATTCATTGCATCAGATACATCAAGGTAGTGCCTAAATTCAGGCAGTCATACTGTGACTGTCAAGGACTTATTTTCAGTTTCTTCCTCTTCAACTTGAACTTACCCCGTGGCCTTGCTCTAACATGCTGTTGATCCATTCTATCATCTCTACACAAGTAGTTAATTTAATTCCAAAGTATTCTTTCTGACAAGGTTCACGTGTAATTTACTGGTTTGTTGGGAAAAGATAATTGAAAAGAATAAGTTTGAAAAAGATGTTTGCAATGAATAAGTCATTGGTCTTGCAGATTTTTACCTTTGCCAGTAATTGTCTATCATTGAAGTCAAATTTCTTATTTTTTTTTAAATTATTTTATTGAGGCTCATACAGACTCTTATGACAATGCATACATCCATCCATTGTGTCAAGCATATTTGTACATTTGTTG